TTTGGATACAAAAAGTTTTCCAAAGCTTTAAACATCCCAAGGAGAAATGTGCAAGCGACAATATCAAAATGGAAGAAGTATCCAACCACTTCAAATCCGGCCGTCCCTCTAAACTATCAGCTCAAACAAGGAGAAGACTGATCAGCCAAGGGGCCCATCATCATTTTGGATGAACTGCAGAGATCTTAAGCTGAAGTGGGAGACTCTGTTCATAGGACAACAATCTGTCATATGCTGCAAAAATATGGCCTTTAAGAAAGAAAGACATTTCTTAAAAAGATTTATAAAAAGGCGCCTCAAGCCACCTGCAAGACGCAGCCAACATTTGTAAGAAAGTGCTTTGGTCAGTTTAAACCAAAACCAAATTTTTTGGCAACAATGCAAAATGTGATGTTTGGCTTTAAAGCACCGTTTCCACTGTTAAGTATGGTGGTTGCAGCATCATGGTTTGGGTCTGCTTTTCTTCAGCAGGGTCAGAGAAGATGGTTAAAATTGATGGGAAGATTTATGGAGTCATATACAGGACCATTCTGGTAGAAAACCTGTTGGAATCTGTAACAGACCTAACACTGGCGGAGATTTATTTTCCAACAAGACAATGATCCAAAACATAAAGCAAAAGCTACAGTGAAATGGTTCACAAATAAATATATCCAGGTGTTAGAATGGCAGAAAAGAAGAAAGACAAAGTCCAGACCTGAATCCAATTGAGAATCTGTGAGAAGACCCGGAAACTGCTGTTCACAAACTATCTCCATCCAGCCTCACCAAGCTCTACTATACCTGTTTTGCATGGAAGAATGGGCAAAAATGTCAACTCTCGATGTACAAACCTGATAGAGATACCCGATCAACTTGACTTTGAAGATGGGCCTCTTTGTGCTTTAAAACATGAGTGATCAAACTGCAGATTGCCTGAGTGCAGAATTGTGTCAAATTGTTTTCAGAAAACTGAGCAAAAGTCCGGGTGCCTACTGTACAATGTTGGACCAGTCGACAAAAAATGTGCACAAACATGCACTTCGGTCTTTACCTGCTGAAAGACCTGATTGCCTGTATAACAGAGGGTGCTTTAAGTTTTTTTTTTTTTGTCATTGTCGAATCTCTGGGTTTTAACTGGTTGCTGTTTGGTTTAGATCTAACCAATCAGCTAAACTCCAAACTTTCAAACATGGACGTTTACCAACCTGTGCAGCTATGATGCTGCTTTTTATGGGGTATAAAAAAACCACTGACCATGGGCCGGTGCAGACTGACAGACTTGCCATTAGGGAATCCTCTAACCCTCTGCATGCCCACTCCCACCCAGCTTTCAAAGGTTGAGTTGTCTGTCTATTTGCGGGAGCGTGCTGTCGGACTTAGAGTAAGTCTGCGTTGATAACAATAAATAAAGTGCACGTTACAAGTGGTCTCTGGGTGCTCGCAGCTGTAGTTGGTGGAGTAGCATGTTATCAATTCAATTCAGTTTATTTATGTAGTGCCAAATTCACAACACATGTCATCTCAAGGCTCTTTACAGTTCAAC